CATGGATGGTGGTTGATACCCTTAATGGTTGGAGAATCCATGAGGATCCATGATTCAGATCTGCACCAACAAAAAAAAACAAGTGAAAAGTCAGGGTGGAAAAGAAAAGAAAAGAAAGAATAACTAAATTAACAAACTTTCTCATTTCCTAATAATCTAGAAATTCCCCGGTAACGGCACCAAAACTTGACTCGCTAAAATACAAATCCTAACAATTGTCAAGTTTAACCAATGAAAGGGATTGTACTATAGTGACACAAGTAATAAATATCAAATCTTCGAATTTCTAGATTTACTATTACTCAACTTCAGTTTATTATCTAGCAAATCATATTCAGGTTTAAAGAACTAAACTACTCTAGCAAACTACAATTAAATTTAATCTAGTTACAGTTTGGGAACTCACTTAGGTATGATTCCCCCAAGATTGCATTTAGGCCAAGTTGTAATTCACCCAATTTAATTCAGCTAACATCTACAATGCGGGAAGTTCTCAAATAGTTTGGTATCTCGACTAAAGTGTTCAAGACCCTCTTGAATATATTACCAGCGGGCGATTAACCTCCACTAGAATAACCTAACCAAGGAAATAATATTCAAACTTCCTCTACTCGGTTTCCACTAGTACAGAGTAGTGAATCGACTTCTCGACTAAAGCAATCGATTCACTACTTCCAATTCAGATTGCTCTTTTAACCTATGCATAGACTATCATTTTAAGTTAAAGCAGAAGTCATAGGAATTTGAACAGGACTCATGCAATTCTGAATAATGCCTCAATTAGATGTAAGATAATCAATCATCCATGAAAATGATTTCATGTAACTCTTCTTAGCATACAAATCTAGGGTTCCTCAAAACCTAAGTGAAGGGAAGTTACTCCATAGAGAAGAGAGAGAATGCAGAAATCTTATATAGATCTTTAATCTCCATCTCCAAGCTTGATTCCTGAGCTCCAATTGTGAAGAAATCCTCCAAAATAACTCCAAGAATGATCCCAAAGTGCTCTCTCTCTCTATAGGATTCGTCCCTTGGGTGTTTGTGATCCAAACCCAACTCTCCCTCTTTAAAAGCTGCAAAAACGCATTGAAATAGCTCCTAGAGGCCAAGTTATGGCGGTAACCTTTGGGGTTTAGGCTGTAACCTCTGCAATGCGTTATCCCTCCCGTGGCCCGAGTTACAGCCAAAAATGGCAAAGTTATTGATTGAGCAACAAGGAAGGAGGAAAAACATCTTGCCTTTGTTCTTTCTCTCCTTTTTTTTTTTTTAATCCCTAGCTTAGCTATGAAGTAGTTCTCCTTATCACTTGGGTATTGTGAACCCTACCCTAAGAGATTTGATAAGTTGTATGGATTGAATGCTATGTGTGTGGTTTTGTGTTTAATGCAATGTTTGAGGTATTTTTAGAATTCTTGAGTATTGTTCTTCACATCTCATAATTAGGTAAAATTGATCTAGGTGGAGGAAATCCCCTTTGTTGAGGCTTTAAAGAGCGGGATATCTTAACCACTTGGGTCAACCACCTAGGGCAATTGAGGGAAAGCCTCAAACATTGATTTAGAGCCATGAACCTACCATGATTGGTTGTTATTTTGCCGTCCAGATCATGTTTCGAGGGAGTAGTCTTAGCAACCCTTAGTCGATTAGCCAAGAGAGCTAGTTTCCTAGCTTAATTTTCCTTGGCTAATCGTCTAAGAGAGTTGGGCTTCTCCACTAGTTGCAACCTCCTCATGGTGTATGAGCACACCTTTCCGCAATAGCATTCTTTTCAGTCAACCTTGATACAAGGGCTAGGGGGAGCTTTACCCAGTTGCAATATTCTCCTATTGAAACCACCTCAATTTACTTTCTTTGCTTATTTAGAGTTGTAGTCTTTAGCTTCTAACTCCAAATCGTTAGCTAGATAAAAATACAAAAGATGGAAGTAAGAATACATGGACTACCTTAGGTTGACAATTATAACACTTTCCCTACACTGCACTATTCTATAGTTTGCACTTGGGCTTCAGTCGGGATTTAAGTGTGTAGTTAGGAACGAGTCACAGTTTCATCGATAGATGATCGATGGCGAGTGGTTGTCGTGTCCAATATCATCAAACCACAAAGTTTGGTTTGAGGATATATCCTTTGAAGATAGCCCTTGTTTTATGCACACAAGCGCATAAACAATAAACTAAGTAAGTAACCAAACAGAAAGATAGAAGATATCAAATCATATATATACCAAAATAAGAAGCTACATAGTCGACCATGGCGACGAGTTTATAGGGGAACATCACTCAAAATGAGATCCAGAGAAAACCCTCTACATAGGCAGCCAAAATAAAGAATTGGCGGCTCTGCCGACATTTTTTACTTCCATTTACCATTTGTGGTTGGCTTTGCTCTAAGTCACGTGAGTCACTATGTCGGTAGAGTAACGACCCTCTAATGTCTTTTATCACTACCTACCGATCTTCCACCCCCTAGGTGTCAATCTACAGGCTTCTTTATTAGGGTAGACAAAACATTACAATTTACAACAACATAATCAATCAAAGGTAGGAGAAGGGTTGAGTTGAAGGTTCGAGGCTAGAACCCTCACTTAGGTGGGGATGAACAAACCTTCATCTGAAGTCCTGGCCTTTCCTAGCCAAAAAGATTTTCCATCAATGTCAATCCTATTATAATCCATTAGGGAGAATAAGTTTTGTCTGAGTCCACACATAAAGAATTGTCAGAATTAAGATGCCTTCACCATAATAGAAGAGATACATGAATGCATGTCATTATTGAGTTCGTGTGTATGATCATCTAGATGAAGCTACCTAAACAATAGTTAAGTCTTATATATCTATCTTTATGTACTTGCTTTGTTTATTTACTTCTTTAGTTACTTATAGAAAACAACTATCAATCAGGAATCCCAACCCGTGGTGTTTACTTTTAATGCATACGTTATTGGAACATAAGTAGTCAGTCACAAAGAAGTTGCTATTGAAAGACCCTGTGGAATACAATCCTAGACGCTTCTAGGATTTATTACTTTATGATATACTACAATAGGATCAGTGGACCTCAAGGAGTCTGCTTCTCTTGCCTTTGAATAGTGAGTGAAGCAAAAGAGGAAACTTATCCAAGTCACATCATCTGCGACCAAGTCATTCCCGGTTTCAACTCGAACTCTGTCAATACAATGCTTGGAACCCTACATATCACGCATGTTGTTGATATCCTCTACTTTCCTGGCTCTTATTAAGCACAATGAATATATGCATACCTCTTCATGATCTTCCTTGTTCGCTTGTGATATGGCTCTTAAGCATGTGATCTTCTAATTCACTCTCTCTACAATTGTTGCCCAAATTTTCTACAAAAATTTCCTAACCTAGAATTGGAAGGGTTCAATTATGCTCAAAATGCCATGAAAACACCTAGAATTAGAAGTGCGAAAACTCCTCTTTTAGGTGTTATTGGTTATCCATTCATATGTTTTATGTTTAAGTTCAGATTGTACATTAAATTCTGTATATGCATAGCTTCATGCTCACTAAACAATGTTCTAACTATACCAAATTATTGTATACAATCTTCATGCCCACTACTCAACGATCCTCTAACTATACCAAAATATAGCTCAAAATGCCATGAAAATACCTAGAATTGGAAGTGTGAAAACACCTATTTTAGGTGTTATTAGTTATGCATTCATGTGTTTTATGTTTAAGTTCAACATGTACATCCTTAAATTCTTATATACGCATAGCTCCATTCTCACTACTCAACAATGCTCTAACTCTACCAAATTCTTCTATATACCTATCTTCATGCTCAATACTCAACAATGTTCTAACCATAACAAATTATAGCTCAAAATGTCATGAAAACACTTAGCAATGGAAGGTTGGAAACATCTATTTTAGGTGTTATTAGTTATGCATTCCGGTTTTTTTTTATGTTTAAGCTTAGCATGTACATCCCTAAATTCTTGTATGTGCATAGCACCATGCTAGCTAATCAACAATGTTCTAATATACCAAATTATAAGTTTAGATCTCCTCACTTTTTGGGAGATCATCCTTGTACAAGTTCAAGTTTTTAAGTAAGCAAGTAAGAGTTGAATTAGTAAACACAAGGTAACTCTCAAGTACAAACTATCAACTCTCTTGTATGTGTAAGAGATTGATTCAAACAACCAAGTACAAACTATCAAGTTAATTAGTAAACACAAGGTAACTCTCGCTTAGCTAATTACACACGTGGTCTCTTCACTCCAGTGTGAGAAAGTCTGAGAAGGTCGCAGACGCTACTTCTTGGTAGTAAGTAGGTGATCAAGCATGAGATAGTTAAGTTGTGAGCTGGTCTCCTGCTTTCAAAGCAAGAAACCAGAACTCGTAATAACATAACCCTTTTCGAGATAAATTTTCAGAAACCACTTTAATGTACCAGCATTGGATAAGCACGGTAGGGGATTCAACCAATTCATAGTCCATTATTTAATAAATAGTAACCGTCATCATCGACCACTTCCACGAATTACTCTTCCGTAACCAGGAAGTCTCTATCACCCACATATATCGTGAAGGGAATAAATGTGCTGATTATTTAGCGAACTGTGGCCATTCTGTACCTTTGGGTTTCCATTTGATTTTGATTTAAGACAATGGCTTGTGTCGTTTCATCTTATATGACTGTCAAGATCTTTCCAACCCTCTTCTTATTATGAATGAAAGCGGCAACTTTGCCAACATTTAAAAAAGGTAAATGACTATTTATTAGCCAAACCTTTTTCAGATTTTTTTTATTAGCCAAACCTATCGAAATACTAAGAATTAGCCAAATGTTAGTTAACTTCCGGTTAGCAATTTTCTTAATAATATTGACTTGACAACATGATATTGACTTGAAAGAGACACATGAATGTTAACATTACAAAATTTTAGTTTTAACGAAGAAAAGAGTGACAAAATTATTAATGATAATGTAAAATGGCTAATATTTTAATGTATTACGAAAGATTTGACTAATTAATAGCATTTTAATAGGTTTGAATAATATAAAAGAATCTGAAAAAATTTTGGATGAAAAAATTTTGGATAAAAAATAAAAAATTGTTTTGCCATGAAGTCCTGGCATATTTCAAAAAGAAAAAAAAAATTCCACATTTCAGGTTATAAGAAACAAAGGGCCTACAAAAGTAACTGACTAGTTTTTTTCTTTGAATAGGAAACTGAAACTAAATGGTAAACTTAGCTGGATACCAAACTATGAGAGAATTTACATATCCTGCCTTCACTTAGGCCCAGTCACACATCACATGGTTAAGTTATACGATGGATGATGCCACAGTTTGATGTTTGAAAGCTTGTGGCAGTTGAACACTGCTCCTCACTTTCCCCTATCCCAGTAAATTACAAAAACAGAAAAAGATTCCGGAAGTTGTCAAGGTTATCAGAAAAGTAGTACTGAAATCAGCTTCACCAGTAAGGATCCTAGAAGATACAGCACAGCACCTAGATGCAAAAAAGTTTACAAGGGCTACCGGTCAGATATTTGAATCTACGTTCTCAGCCAGTCTACCATCTTCTTCGTCGGTGCCAGAGTTTCCAAAGGCATGAAAATGATGACGATCAAGAGACCCTGTTGAGGAGTCCGGTTGAATCGGATGGTCAAATTTACATGCAGGACCAAACTTGCAGATCCCATACCGACTGTAGTAAGCACATATATTTTGATCCTGGATTGATAATAATACAGGTAGGTTAGGCTTTTGGGTGGTAGACGAAAGACGGTAAAATTGAAGCAGCATGCTAGAAGAGTGATGATTGGTATGCTTGCTTTGCCTTAAAATTAAAGTCTTTGACTTGAGAGCTAAAACAAACACACTTCTCTAATCTAACTTTCTAAACTCCTCATTCAAAACCCTCAATTCATGTAGATCAATAAAGGAACCATACCCAACTTTTGAAATGGAGGATAAAGAGAACTTACAGGTCTCAGTGGCAGGCCCTTATCACTAAGAACACAGGAAGGCGATTTTGTGATCCAATTCTTAGGATGATTAAACTTGCAATTGCCCTTAAACTTGCAACCCCCAGTTTTCAAGAAATAACTGCAGTCTGGTTGACCAGGTCGCTCTGGGTACTCATCTATCACCATGGGTTTTTGCTGATGACTGTAAATATTTGTTCCTATTGCAGGGTTGGTCATGACATATGGCAGAGGAGAGGTAGCCATACCTCGCTCTGGCGAAGGATATACAGGAGCCTTTAGAAGCCACAAAAATAAAGAAATGTACCGTCAAGTTTTAGGATGAGCATTTTTCAAAAACAAAAATTACAGGGTAACATAGAAACATGACTCAAGTCATTGCATAAAGAAATCACTTCAACTTACTACATTGTAGTGACATTATGGGTTTGGCAAATTGGGGGCATAAACATCAAGCCCAGTGAAAACAAGACATATGGCAGAGATTGTATTCATATTCACATAGCTACTAATTAAGTGTTAAGAACCATTTGTTTTCAAGAACTTATCCTTTTTAGTCTCCAAGCAGCATCACTGTCATACATGCATCAAGCTAATTATAATTTATACATACACCTCTTTGTAAAGCATTGAGTAAATGCACCATTTACCTTTCTTCTTAATTTGTTCAGTTGCAGGTTCTATTTACAAGCTTTCAATGGTAAGGTTTCTGAGAAGGTTCGGAGCATGAGTAAAAATAAACAGTGCCAGTACTATCAGAGTTTGCAATCTAGGGGTATTGGAGGATCTTATCATATTCACACCATCAGATAAAGAAGCCATAATACTTGCAATGAAGTAAGATCATGTGTCTGCATGAAACTAAAACACAGGGACCAAATGAAGAGCCATAAAATTAGGTTTAGAGAACACCTATAAGAAAAGGAGTAAGAGGCACTAATGGGAAAATCCTTGATTTCATCCAACGACATTACATACCTGATACCCATTCCATTCCAGATTCTGGGAATTTGCCCCTTGATTTGGGGGAAACATTATTGGGATATAAGGGAGAGCCTCGCTCAGTGCTGGTCTTGGCGGTGGCGGAGACCATGGTGGTATGTTTGAATGTGATGATGCATTGATAGACGGAGATCCACCATTAGCAATTGTTGAAGAACGTTCATTTTCCCCCACCACTGTTGGATCAGGATGATTAAACCTGCAGTTTGACCCATACTTGCAGGAACCATTGCGCATATAATATGGACACTCTTTCTCTCCCTGAGGAAGGTCAAAATACAAATGAGCATTACTTTATCCATGGACTGGTAAAGTTACAACTGCTATCTAATTGCCAAATTGGAAGGTATACCACTCGGATCGGTAGACCAAGAAAGTTAAACTCAAGAATCTGCATCACTGGTGACTTTGCAGAGACTGGTGGAGTTCTTAATTTGGAGTGGTTGAATCTACAAGCTTTTCCATATTTACAGCCCCCTGTCCTCAAGTAATACTATAAAAACTCAAGTTAATTACATGACCAGAGAAATCCATTGCTAACTTGAATACGCAATGAGGATGCCAATAAGAAAAGAGTTCCACAAGTAATAACTAGTGCAAGAGATGACTCGTCCGCTAGGTACTTAAATGAGACATTCTCACCTAGCTTGGCAGTTAATGAGTTGTCTAAAAGTTCCCAAGATGAAATTTACAGCCTAGTCTCCTGCCTAACTAGAAGTCGTATATTCCTGATGAGATGAGATTTTGAGATCGACTAGAATACTACACAGTTCCATAATAGTTCCAATGGCTGGACGCCTGAAATGGGGAAACTGAGTAGCTTCTGTCCAATGTGGATTGTTAAGATAACCATGTACTCACGAATTTTATCCATCATTGAACAAACCTGGATAACGTCCTAGTGAAATAACCATAACATCCCGATTGAGAAGACACTCAGGCCAAAAGGACCAACCTCATGACTTACTAATACTATAATAATGCAAATGGAATATCAAGAAAAGCAACACCATGAAAGGCAAGTGCACGCACTCAGTGATCGGGAAACATAAAGCAACAAATAACCTTGCATTCAATCTGCCCTGGTCTCTCTGCTGATTCTTCTTTCTCCCACATTCTTTCCCTTGACACCTTTCACATAGCAAAACAAGTAGAAGTCAGCAAGACCTTACGATGCTCATTTCACGGCAAATTCTCCAAACAGAAACAAAACAACTAAAACAGTATTAACCTATTGATATGAGCTGAAAAAGCAACTCATTTAGGATTGGGGGATAAAGAAAACTGAACTGCCAGAAAATGCATGTAGAAAACACATTAAAAAAAACACTTTTGGAACCTGGGTTTTCCTATTAACAGGGTGGTTAAATTTGCAATTGGAGGCGAATCTGCAATTCCCTGTCTTCATATAGTAAGAGCAGTCTTCGGCGTCAGGCCTCACCGGAAACTGGTGCTGCCTAATCATCCCACCGCCATTGCTTGTCGTATGATTCCACTCCTGGACCTCCTCGTCACCTTCATTCTCCTCCAACTCCTCCAGTGTCTCAGCGTGCTCATTCATATCCGGAACATTCGTTTCTTCAACCACATCACTATCGCCATTGTTATGCTGCTCCGGCTGCTCCTCAACCTCTCTTTGCCCATTCAACTGGCTCGAATGTCTCTCGGTTTCCACCACCACCACTCCCTCTACGTCTCTATCCTCCTCCTCGCCGTGAGTCTGCTTCAGCTGCAGCTGCCTCTCAACCAGCTGCTGCAGCAGCTCTTCATCCTTGTCGGCGGCGTGATCAGGAGGAGCATGCTCATACGAGGAGGGTTGAGGATCTGGATCCTGAAGAGGGGACGAGGGCGAGGGCGAGGGCGAGGGAGATTGAATCGCGAGTTGGCTGGGATCAGAAATGGAATCGGCTGATTCAGGTTGCTCCATTGCTCACCGCATTTCAATTACTTTCGAAAACAAAAAGCCCTAATTTCCGAGGTAACGAATAAGAAGAGATAAAAACAGAAGAGAGCGGGGGAACGAGAAAACAGAGAAGAAAAAGAGAAAGGTATCTTTCCCTGAGTAATGTGAGGAATTTGGAAAGCTTGAGGAAAATAAAAGCAACGTAAAATGAGAGGCTTCTAGTTTTTTCTTCCTTTCTTCCACTTTTTTTATTTTTCTCTAAACTAGAAAGAACAAACGAAGATTTTAGGAAGAAAGTGTTACTTTTACGTTTGAGCACATGGAAGAATGTTGTAAATGAGTCGAGTCTAAGTTGGATATTGATTTAAATTGAGTTTGGTTTATTAATAAACTATGAAAGGTTGAGATCGACTTGTTTATAAAAATATTGTTTTGCGTTAGATTTAAGTTCGATTCGAGTTCAACTCTTTAATGAGTTTAGGAGCTCTACTTGAGTTCGGCTCATCAATTAGATCGAGATTGGATCGAGCTCAGATATCATATCATTTTAATAATTTTTAATTGTTCATATAATGTTGTTTAATAGTAATTAGTATATGAGCAATTTATGATTTATAATTTATCTTTAAAATTATAAATGAGACATATTTGATCACGTGCTCAAATTCTTAATCATCATATATGGTGAGATATATTGATGTCGTTGTATGGAGTGTCAAATTTACCTGGTCCGAAGGCCAGGTTCGTATTTCTCTATAGCCTCTCGTAGACCACTTACTCATGTGGCGAGATATGGTTCTATTGATTAGCAAACGATATAGGAGGTTGAGTTACCTCCGGTTTTGCAAAATGAAAGACGAAAAGTAGGAAATTTGGAGAAAAGCAAATATATAACTATGTTTGCATGAGCGAGAGCAGCAGAGAAGGACATGCGTTGCATAGTCAAGCTAACCATATGTCTCCTGGTTATTGTCGCTCAATGGTCGGCAGCATACGAGTTGTTGATTCCTTAGATCATCTTATCTCACCTTGTGTCGAAGCATTTACCCGCACCTGCAATAATGGGCAACAAGGTCCCTTAGGATTTCTCCCTCGATGCATCAAGTCGTTCGACCGAATGACGTTCTATCGAATAGGACCGTCATGTTTGGTCTAATCATAAGCGACTTGGATTTCGATCCTGGCACCTCGAAGGAGTGTAAAGTCGACTAGGATTTCGAATCGACAAAAGACGAAATGGAGGGAATCAAACATCACACATATAAAATAAAACGATCATATTTAAAACCAATCCATCAAGTTTACATAACCAAAATCTCTTGTGTTCACATACCTACGCAACTAAAGGAACTAGCCAACCATGGAAAGGGTTCATGCGTTCCTTGAGAGCTACTGGAATTGGTAGCCACCACAAAGAAACTAGGGCATAGGCCGCTATTTCTAGCGTTGATTCCTCCCTCTCAGTTGGTTTTTCTCTATATTAGGTGAGTCACTCTGTCAGCAGAGTAACTACCCTTCTTTGACCCCTCGTCGCCTCCTTCTCTGTTTCTATCTCTAGAGGCCTATTTATAGGCTTTTGATTAGGCTTTCTCGGGAGATAAACTCGTAGCTACTACACCATCCCGCTAATTAGAAAGCTCCTAACTCATGGCCAACGAATTAGGAAGCTCCAAGGTAACTTTCTGACGAAGTATAGGTGCCATGTCAAACGGCGGCTGAGGCACCAATTTTGATCATGGACCGCCATTTTCATAAGCTCATCTTCTCTTCGAGTCCCGACTCTAGCAACTGGGTATTGATGTCCCCTTCGGCTATGAAGTGGTCCCCTAGCTTGCTTTGACCTCAAAATGAAAATAACACTACCAAAAGCATACCAAATGAGTAAAAGAAATTCTAGGGTTGCTAAAACACACTTGAAGCATTCATAGTATGAATTTAAGGTATTATAATCATAAAGATATAAAATGAATGCACCATATGAGGTGATATATACAATTTAATAATTATATGCATCATTAACAAACCAACTCATAAAATATAGATTGATTTTCTCATAAACTATAGTCGAGTTATCTCTCTAGTCACAATGTTGAGACATCTCATAAGCTCAAAACGAGACAGTTCATGAGTTGTATTAAACGAGCCACCTAATCAAGCTAGTTCACGAGCTTCACGAGCCAAAAAAGGTAGAGCTCAATCTCAGCTCGTTTACTAACGAGTCGAGCTTTTTTTTAATCGAATGAGCTTTTATCGAGTTCGAGACCGAGCCTCTCACGAATAGCTTGACTCATTAACAGCCCTACCTACAAGCATGTTCGCTACTGATTCGGGTCCAATTGTACACATTTTATCCCCGTTTTCCTTATAAGTTTGATGCATTTGGATTCTATGAGGTGTGGGTTTACGCTAGATTTCGCTTTATTTTAGTATGTTTCAGATCCTAACAGGTGGAACTGACCTCGAAATCAAAAGTGGGACTAAAATGAGTCAAAGGGTGGAAGCAGCTGAGGGTCACGATAAATGATGATTTTTCACGGTCTTAAGATCGTGAAAAGGGCTCGCGGACCGTGAAGCGCCAAGGGTCCAGGAGCATTTGCACACCTCGCGGGCTCCTAGTCAGTTCACGGTCGTAAGATCGTGAATCAAAGCCCCAGACCATGAACATACTAAATGAAATGGTGCAGATCATCTCGACATCACGGTCCAGGAGGAATGTTCAGGATCGTGAACTGACTGCGACCTGGGTATAAAAGGAGGGCTGAGCTGAAGAAAAAAGGGGGGAAACCTAGTGTGAGAAACTTATTCTTCTTCTTCTTCTTTAAATTTCTAGTGTGAGAAAGTGACGAACCAAAGAAGGGAAGAAGTTATGGTTTTATCTTTGAGCAAGATTTTGGGAATTCCTTCACCAAAGGAGGATCTCTTCAACACAAGGAGCAAGGCTAGCATCACCATGATGGTTTTCCTTCTTCTCCCTTGTGTTTTCCCTTCTCCTAGCATGGAGTAGTCCCTTATTTCATTCGGGTGTTTGTAAAACCTAGCTACAATTATGTGAATGTTTGTATGGGTTGAATGATTTGTGTGAGGGTGTATTTTAATCAAGGTTGTCAACCCGCAGATTGACAGGCTAAAACACAACACCAAACTGTAGCCAAGCGTAACCGCAGTCTGGAAATGCAGTTTCAGGCAAGTTCTAATGTCAACCCGGGGTCTAGATCTACTGCCTACTCCGTGAATATCTATTATTAAGCCAACTAAGTCAAGTGATTGTTGTTTTAACTAAAAGCAGTAAGAAAACAGGAATTGGTTCGGTTTTCTGAAGCAAAGGAAGAGTCACTCGGGAATGAATCCCCCTAGCTCCCTAGTTAGGTTCCAGTTGTAATTACTTTTGGTTGCTTTACTGCTGATTATACTGCGGAAGATCCGACAGTAGCTTGGAATCTCTTAAGCTGACCAAGCCCTCTCAGTCTAACTACCCGGCAGACGACTAGTCTTCACCAGGATAGAAAGCCGAGGCTATGAACAAAGAACTCCACTACTGGAATTAGATTCCAGTACAAAGCAGTGAATCGACTAACTCTCGTATAATCGATTCACTACTACCAATTGAAGAAGCTCTAACAACCTAATCAGATTCTATCTATCTCAGGTTGCAGCAGAAATCAATAAAAGGTGATCAGACTTCAATTGACTCATTCAAAACACTTCAATCGATTATAATCAAGCAATATCACAATCCAAAAGTAATTACAATCAAGATTCCTAACATATGGAACTAGGGTTCTTCATACCCAAGTGAGACAGAGTTCTACTCCATAGAGAGAGAGGGGAAAACAGAATACAAAGCAGTCATACTCATAACAATGGGAAGAATCTGCTCTGGGATGATGATTTTCACTCCTGGGGATGCAATATGGGCTTCAATGATGAGAAATCCACTCCAAATAGCTCCTAGGGTTTGTTCTTCGCACTTTCTCTCTCTAAAACTCTGTTTTTGCTCCAAAAAGTCGACTCCCTCTCCTTTGGCTCGAATCTGCCTCAAAAACCCGATTCTGGGCGAATTACGGGCTGAATTACGGTCGTAATTCTTCCATGCCCGTATTTTGCCCAAAACACGCGTTTTGGTTCAGTTTCAGCGCACCCAAAGCTCCTCTCGGCAGTGAAAATACGGGCATGGGAGGGGCAAATATGGTCGTAATTCTCCTGCCCGTAATTCTTCCTCCGCTCCTGTTTAATGCTTCGTTTCTCCCTATTCCGGACTCCGAATCAGTCGCCGTTTGAACCCAGACGCTCGTAGTCTCGTCCTCTTTCTTTTCATAACAAACTTCCATGATAATTTGTCCATAATATGAGGTAGAAATCCATTATTCCTCAGGTCATGCTCGTGTTTGTTCTCCCGAATTGCCAAATGATCTCTGATTGACTTGAAACTTGCGCCTATGCTTCAATTTACATACTAGGACCTGAAATGTGACAAAGGAACACAACCTAGTGTAAAATACTCCAAGAAAGAAAAAACTCAAGCCAAAATTATCAAGAAACGAGGGTGTAAACATGTGCAAATACGACGTTATCAAATTCCCCCACACTTAACCGTTTGCTTGTCCCCAATCAAACCAAGTCACATACAAGGAAAGCTCAACACATTTCAATCATGCAACTCTTGGGGACATATCATATCGGCACAAAACACGGGAATCATACTGGCTTTTAGACATCAACACATGAAAAACTTCAACCGCAACTTGGACAACCACCACATACAGCATTCGAGTGCAGCAAAATCGAGTAAAGGAGGAGTCTCCCTTCTGTTTTTCAACCAACATAGACTTGACTCAACTAGGGCTGCAAACGAGCCGAGTCGAGTCGAGTTTTCGCTTAGCTTGAGCTCGGCTCGTTTATAAATTTTTTAGCTCGAGCTCGAATTTTGATCATCCAGCTCGAGCTCGAGCTCGACTCGATTAAAAATAATCCAGTTCGAGCTCGCCTCAATAGAGCTCGGTAAATGCTCATTAACACAGCTTGTCAAGCTGAGTACAAGCTGGGCTCAAGATAAGCTCGATTTGAAACCATTCTTGCTGAAAAATGTGTAAAAATAAGAACATTAGAAATTAAAAATGATAAAAAGAACACTAGAAACTAAAAATAACATCTAACTTCCATAAACATCCTTATTAACAAGATAATTTTCATGTTCAGAAGAGTAATTAATCCTTCCAC